TCTGGTACCAATTTACCGTCCCCGGAGGGTAGAAGGCTTGGTTGGCTGGGCGGGTGTCGACCCGGGATTCGAACCCGGCGCCGCGCGAGTGGTAAGCGCGCCACTTGTCACTACACCACCTCCGCCTCATGATAATAATTATTAATATTATAATTGTATCTACAGATCTCTGTATTGTACGGCGTTATGGCGCTGACCACACCCCTGCTGCAAATAGAAGCGTGTGCTCAGTAGTGCAGAATCCTAAGCCTTGCTCTATCTGCTGCGATTCAATCACTACAGCGCCGTATGAGCAGCCCATCATTGAAAACGTTCCCTTAAAATTATGGAGCGCGCCTGGCGAAGCCAGGCCAGCTCGGCGAAGCCGAGCTAAAGAGAAGGAGGAGAGCTCGGCGTCAGCCGGGCGATCCGACTGGTAAAAAAAAAGGAACATCCCAAAAGATCCTTTGGACTTTTTCAGGCGTTTAAATTCTAGACATTATTGCACGATTTACTTCTAAGGTTGGAGCGATTCTCCGATCCTGCATTGTTTTGTATAATTGAATCTTACCCTTCATAATTTAGGATCTCAATTTCATAATCGTGATCTCTAACCTGGATTGTCTGCCCGTCTCTGACTAAGCATCGGACTCACGACACCCACAGTCGGACTTGGTAGTGCTGCAGCCTTCTTGACTTCCGGCAGATCTGACTTCGGCGTCTCTGCTTCCATTTCCGGCTCCATTTTTTCGGCCGTCGGTGGAAGACGAGAAGACACGCCTTTCACCGCCAAAGTCGGCTTGTCCTGGAAGACTAATGTGGTAAAGATCTGGAATGAAAAGGCAATAGACTCAGAATTACATATGTAACAAGATTATAAAAAAAGATTATTGTTAATCAATGGAATATCAACCATCACAGCGATTCTTCATAGCTTGGTGAACTTGGGTGTTTTATTGAATACGAAGAAGGCGTATTCGGACCTGAGCGACTGCTTTGAGGATGGGTCTCATGCACTGCCCAAACGGGGACTTTCATCAGTGATTGTTGGGGATTAGCGACGAAGTCGAGTACTTTGGCTTTTCGCAAGCCGTCTGCCCTTTCCCACCTGCCTTACATTCTTCTTGGCAACATTTCTTTTTTGACTTCAATTTTTCGTTCCGTTTGCTACTATATCTAATCAAGGGCCCCACTTAGTCAGCCCCAACTGATGGTGAGCTGATTCCTGGCGGTGGTTTGTTAGGGAGAGGCGGAACGGACTACCTCCACTTACCTTCGTGGTTCCTACAGTTGTTCATTCGCAAGGTTCACAATAGATTCCACCTGGAGGACATGTATTGTTCCAAACCCGATCATTCTTCCCCAAACCAAGACACTTTTCTTTGAAAATTCACCTCCACCTGCCAATTTTCAAGAAACCATTGGAGTACGAGAAATGTCAGATACTTCAGCCCAACCAGACACTGAGCTAGGATGGCACCTTCGCGCAACTGCCTGTCCTTTTTATCCCCTGCCAAGAATGCCCTAGCGAAAATTTAAGGGCAAGGATGGGCGAAGATTGGCTAAAGCGCAAGTACTTTCTAAACAACAAGGGGAGTCCTCAAAGGGGTACCAACTGCACACGAGAAATTTTCGATGGTTTTGAAATTCGCTTTTCTTTGAGGCAGAAACAGTTTCGACTTTGCAGCTTGCAGCGCGCAAGTCCGAATTGCTCACACCGATATTTTGTGCATTACTCAAAAACTTTTGTTAGAAGTGGTCCACCAGGTATCTGTACCACAGGAAAATCGAGGGAATTCTTAAAAAAAGGAAAAAATGAGCACTCAATACATGTAGAATTGGAAGGGATGAACATGAACGTGAAAACTGTGATTAGAAATTGACCTCAAAATGAAATATTGATGGGAAAGGCATGAACTGAGGTGGAAAGTGAACTGAGAGTACTTTAAGACGGAGGGATTTACCTGGCTGTCGCTCCCACGTCGTTTCATCAGCAGCTCTGGAGTGGAGGCCTTTTCTTCAATCACGGGCTCGGGTTGACAATCGACCTCGTGTGATCCCTTAATTTCCTTATATTGAGACCTTAGTGACTACTGTCGTGCTTCTTGTTATAAGAACAGTAAGTATGCTCAAAAAACTTATATCCAACCACTACTTTTTCTGTTCAGAGTTTTTCAGTAGAATTCTGCGAAGATTTGGAGGCATGGCATCTGAGTTGCGATTGCGCGGCAGTTGCGCGGATGGGTGACTATGATACTCCATGACTGCTTGTCTGCACCCTCCGAACGAGTATTTCCTTTGAGGTTGTTCTATAAGGGTTCCCGGCCTATTTCGTGCGTACAATTGACAATTTCCCTTCCTCAGGCAGCGAAAAGGCATGTCAGGGCGGTGATATTGTGAAAACCAGACATGGCGAGGCACACTGACCACAACCCCTCCTACTCTACCTCCAGAACAATCATTGGACTAACCTTTGACGAGCTTGATTGCAAGCTCATAGAGCTTTGAGTTGACGACGCCGGACTGGTGCTACCGAAGCCGGCATACGCCGAATCTTCCTCGCTGCTTTTTGAGGTCCTGAAGCGGCAGGACATTTGAAACAATTCCGAAGACAATTGAAGAAGAAGAGCAAAAGAAGTAGTTAGAAGCGCACCTGCTGCTTTCGTTACAGTTTTCAGCGTGAGTAGTTGCTGGTGCACGGATGGTCGGTGTACGAAACTGTACGTTTGACGTCTGGAAATTGGGATTTCAACAATCTTGAATTGGTGGGGTGCCTTTTCTAGAAAAAGGGCCCAAAATCTAAAAGAGTGAAGACCATATAACATAATGGCTTAGTGGTGCAAGGAAACAAGAGCTGCGAGAATAGCCGACTCCGACTAATTGACCACAGAGAAAAGTCGTTAGGAGTAAGTAATGGCGCGCCGAATTGCATCCTTAAGGGAGGGAAGAACGAAGCTGTAGAGCGGACTGGACTTGCCCCCACTCAGTCAATGGGGCGGGAATAAAGCTGGAAGTAATCATAGGATCCATACGAATTACTGTTCCATCTTCTAGACGTAGACGGTCCACAGGTTTTCTCCAACGGCCATACGTGTGCGTACGGCTGTTGATAATTAAGACAGTTTCGGCTTAGAGTTGCGATCCGTGCACTATGCATCAATGGGGGTCGCCCACGGCCGTGTCACGAGGGGCGTGGCCAGAATACTACCGGAAAGACAAGTGTGGGTAAAGAGTGGAAGCCAAACTACTTCAGGCAAACTATACAGCATCGACCTGCTGCAAACTGTCTAGGAAGTCATGAATGAGAAGCTCCTTGAACGCATCTGGAAGCTTCCTGTTTTTGCACGGTTTCCCTAACTTTTGTTGCTTTCCAAATCTGGTTTCCAGGCATTTCGGGGTTTGGAAAGCCGTGTTCAAAGGGATCAGCTGTAAGCTGCTAAAACCAGGTTCGCTTTGGCAAAGCGGCTAATGTGAAAAGATCGGTTTAGGAGAAGCCAAATTTGGCCGAAATTATCGCCAATGCATCCTATCTATAACTGCCGGCATTACAGCTGATTGCTTCAAAATATTTCCGTGTTTCACGGGCTTTTCGCGCTCGTTGTGAGGACCCAGGAAATAAGGTAGTATATCAAGTTTTGTAAGTAACACACAAAATGGTCAAGAGATAGAAGAGTAGCGCTTCCGCTGCTGGTTAATCGGGTCACGCACGTCACGCATTGCACTTCTGTTCAGAACAAAGCACGTCTTACGCTGGAGGATCTCCAGCTGAAGGGGGGGGGTCGTATTGGTCGCTGGAGGGAGTGGTGCTCGGTTTGATAAATTTTTTTAATTTCCACCGGAGCTATCCACATCGTTGGGAGAATGCGATGGGGAGTGAGGTCGTATTCGCCTCTGAGAGAAATCCCATTCGTTGACGGGTTTTTTCCCGTTTCCCTGGTGCTTCACACGTCCTACTCCTTACCCCCCCCCCCAATTCGAAGAATTCGAGGAATTTTTTTTGGGAAAAACTGGAAAACTTTCGGGAGATGTCGACAAATTAAAAGTGGTAGGAAGCTTAGGAAAGCTGCGAGGGCGAGGGTAGGTAGATGATAGGGGCGGGGGGGGGAGTTGTAGCAGAGGACGAAATTGAAGGGGCCGTAGTTCCCGAAAATCTTCCCAGCGGCAGGACGCGCCCTGACTCAGAATCGTATGTAGTGGCTCATTGAATGTGATGAGGTAAGCAACTGCTTACCTGGCTCAAGACGTACAGGTCAGCTATTTCAACCTCGCGTAGCAATCTGATACCATAGACTTCTCCTTCCGTCCACGGAAGACAGAAGGGGCGGTTAGAGTGGTTCTGAGCTGGAGTTAGGCCCCAGTACCGCGCAAACAGGGTAGCCGACAGCTTCCTTTATACTACTCCCGCCTATGAATAATGCATGACAAAGTTATTGGAGGTGAAAATAGACAAAGGTGAAGGAGTTTAGCTGTTTATTCGCACTCAATCAAGAGGAATAGAGAGGCGGGGGGGGGAGGGAGGAGGAGGATCGCTATTCCGCGTTATTCAGAAGAAGTGCACAGAATGGACGAGTGATAGAAGAAATAAGGAACCAGTCTGCCGAGTAAAAGCATTCAACAATGATTTTCAGGCTCAAGCAGAATTCAAATAGGCGTCACAGCTTGCGATTTACGGTGTCAGTAGAAGGGCGGAGTGGTCAACCTCCAAAGACCAACAGTGAACAGCGGCGGCGGGTCAGATCGAATCTCTAAGTGTTCGCGCGACAACTTCCGCTGTAGGCTTTTCCAGTGTAAAAACCACTCGTGCCTTGTGGATCGCGCTGTAGCGATTCGACCAGAAGAACTGGCAGCATTGATGTTCTCAACCGCGCCTTGTGGTCGCACTTACAAATGATCTCCGACAGTCTAGCGCGGCGTGTCGACGTCGAAAAACATCCGGCGTCCCTCCGTTCTTCCTCTAAGCAATGATTGACGATCTGAATGTACGGCTAATACGCGGAGCACTTCCTGCAGTTCCTTTGAGTGCGCGCCAAGCGCAAGTGTGACGAGGCAGCAATTCAGAGGAAAAAAAACCTCATTCTCGTAAATTAAATCCAAGCGTCGTGGGCTATTAGACCAACGGTGTACTTCTGGCGTAAAAAATGAATGGCGTGGAGAAAGAAAACAGGAGGGAGAACCGCGCTGAAATTTCGTAATGGTCTCGCGATCGCACCTTCTCAAAATCGTGGCACTATTGAAGGATCCAGTATTTCCGATGAACATTTTCTTCTAGTCAAAATTTGAATGGAATTCAGACCCGCGCTTAGCCTGGCAGAAAATGATGTCACTGTTCATGTGCAGTGCAAAAGTTCCTTGCCAAACTCCGCGGCAAACTACGTCTAAAGGCAGTTGGCACGATGGTTTCCTACTTAGCCTAAAATGCTAGTAGGGCGCTGTATAGTGGGGAAATGGCGAAAGAACGGAGTGAAACGGTCAAAATCCTGCGAAGAAAAAGCCTCCGTTCTCAGTGACTTGTAAATCGATTTCGGACGAGTTTCCCGTAGGCATCTTACCAATCACCGCTACCGAAGATACGGCTGCATATGTGTACCCATGTATGCATGCAGCATCACGGCCGCTTCATACCAATCCCTTCGCTTCATAATTTGCTTAGCAAATGAATGAATACGAGCGTCAGGAACGGTCGTCCATTTGTGGGCGGGCGGCGTGGCGGGGCGTGGCGGGTTGGGACGTAAAGTTGATGGGGCCCTTATAAGGGCACCTTCCTCGGGGAAACCGCTATGCAGCGCCTGCCCAGGGTCGCGGAATTCTATCCTGCCAGGAGTATTGATCCTAGTCGTCTTGGGGGATTTATCGTGACAACTGCCTTTAACTCCCCGAGGGTGCGCCTCTGCTTGCCGAACTATCGTAGTTACTGTTAGTGGAACGCTCGCTAGAAAAAGCTCGGCTTACAAGGAATCTATTGCCCAAACAACATGTAGAGTCAATGGTCCGCAGATGTCACGATGTCACGAAAAGAGTACCAGGTGCTTTGTGCCTCGGGAAGGGCAACTTTTCAGAAGCAACGTCATATCTGCTCGCACCCTCTCTTTGGGACAGTGCGAGATCCATAAGCATGGCTCACTTAAAGTCAAAACCTGTCACTTTTTCAGTAGACCCTCTCGTCCGGGCAAAATAATGTAGCCTTGTCGCGTCGGAGCATGACGTGAAAGAGCCTAGCTTGAGAATGACGTTACTATGCTGAGGTCCCGATACCTGTTTGCTTTCAGGATATAGGTTAAAATTAAACTACTGCTCCTACCTTCCCTACCAAATCATTAACCTATAACATTTCGTACGAGCAACTTTCTGATCCAACTTCTATCCATGACAAACATAGAACTGAACGACTGTGGATAGGTTATACTCTAGTTCTCCACTATTTTCTCCCTGTTTTCTGTTTCATAGTTAACATTACATGTCGCTCTATCTTACTAGCCGCAATAAACAGGAAAGTTTCAAATTAGTCTAGTTTGATATAGGAAGGCAGTTTACACGAATCACCTCTCAAAATTCAGAGTAAATAAGTGAAGGCGCCTCCAGTTTCCACTGTTGAGTGCTGGAGCGTGCGTCACTGAATTCTAAGCCAAATCATAGTTCTTGCGGGGAGTAATGGAATGGTGGACTATGAAGCGCGGGGACAATGTTTCAATCCGGGCCGCTGCCGTTGGGGAGTTTGGCAGAATTTTGCGGCCTCTCTGCCAAATTCCTCTCTAGACCACTTCTCCCTTTACACACCATACCTTACTAATTCCTGAACTTTTCTCAACACCTATCGCCTTACCACTTATTTCTGAAGGCGTTACCGATGTTTCCTTTTTTCCAGATTTTTCTAAAGAAATCGCCATTGAGCGAGGAGAGTATAGCATTTCGATACAGGAAAAACCGAAAGTCAACAACCGAGAACATTTTTCTCAAGAGCAAATACATGACCCTAACAATACGCTTCCACTTAAACATTTATTGGAGGGGACTATTGTAAATTTTTGACACGCGCACGGCTTCAATGAGTGCAGCATGAAATCTCTGATCCGCTATTCGATAATGTGGAATATGTCGTATTATCTACTGTGTTCGTCCGATTTAGATGATTAGATGAAGTTTCAGCACTATCCCCCTGCTGAAACTGGGTTGCCTAGAATTGTTTGAAGATCTCGGAGGTTGTCACGATGAATGCGCGGAATAGCTTTGGAATTATGGATGTAATCGAACAATGCTTTATGGTGAATGTAGTTTAGAGAAAAACAGCTGACCTACGGAAAACCACAAGTAATTCTTTCAATTGCAACTTCAGCTCTGTAGAAATGTCCAAAATCTGGTGTTCAGTAATTTGACTTAAGAGCAGAGTTAGTGATTTCTCTGCTTCTCTGACTTTTCAGAGGAAAAAGAAACAGCAGCCGCAAGTCGCAGAGCAGCTTTGGAGAGAGGCTGACGTTCAATGTTGTCTAGTGGACTTTTTTTACCAATAACGAAGAGTCCCACGCGGATTTCCCATAAAGAATTCCGCTGGAATGAGAGCGTCCACTATAAAATTGATACCGTGGGAACGTTCGCTGTTTATACTGTCCTGAGAGGCAAATCGCCGGACATCAGAAAAAAGGTTGATCGGTTTATGTCGGGGCCGAAAACACTTAAAATCTGATAAATTTTCTACTTGTCTAGTAGCTTTGTAAGGGATGTAACGTAGCTCATGAACAAGAGAAGCAGAACGGCCGAAATCACAGAAATATTTCTGCTTAGAGAGAAATGGCTTATACGGCGGGAGAAGGGCTATCGCATGCACCGGTTCGATTCCCATTTTCACCGGAAATTCCATTGCATGCCAATGGTTTGTCGTCAAATGGGCCATCAAATTTCAATGGTGTGAGTCATGGAGAAGCTCGCAGTTCTTCTTCGTGAGAGTGGTACTGCTACGGCGGAACTGAGACCAGAGGAGCATTATTTAGGGTTGGTTTAGCGGTGAAATCGTAGCCTTCTTGTATAGTAAAACACTTCCAAACAGGTCAGCGAGTGCACAGTTCAAGCCGGGGATGGTGTAGAGGTAAGCGGCGCCACCTAACACGTGCACGGTGATAGGGTCAGTTCCCAGATCACCTTCCAGTCCAACTGGTCTTAACCGTTATTTTAACTCCCTTCTGTACGATGCACACTTCTCTGTTCTTCTTAAAGCCTCAGAAACTTGAGAAATCAAACCGTTGTCAACGCGCTACATGTCGTACAGCTAGATCCCAGAACATCCTGTCCTGACTACGCCTCAAATCAAGCACTTCTACTTTTTTAGAACAGCATGTTTAGATGCACTGAATCACAGGTAACTATATTTCTATGGGCACTTCCAGAAAGTCTGGCAAAGCTATGAGAAAGCGCGCGACGTGGGCTCGTTCCAAGTTTTTTTTTCGGCGCTGTAGCTTGCCAAGGCAACGGATTCTTCTGAGCGTTTCTGCCGCAGCGAACACCTCCTTGAAAAAGAAGATCCACTATAGGTTGGATAGAAGCTCGAAATGATCTTATTTAGGTGTAATGGGTACTTCTTACACCACACCCATTAGAAATGGTTTTATCATCAGATAGCCAGTTTTATCACCAGATAGTCAGACAAATTCCATATTGAAATGGGTAGCCAACTCTCTAGAAGACCAAGTGCCATCAACTGAAGAGACAAGCGCCTCTTTCCACTGAACCAGTGACACAAAGTCGAAAAGACAAGTTTGCATGAGATCTTCAAATAAATGGGAGTTATGAACAATGCTGTTGCTGCAGTGCTGCACTAAAAGCAAAGCAAGGCTAACTGCATATCACATGATGGGATCTGAAGAACGTGCTCGACACTGACAAATATCTTCGGCTCCAAGTTTCTCCGCTGGGACGCATTGCAACGAAAACTGCAAGCCAGAATGACATTTCCAATCATTACTGGAAGGGCCGCTTCTAAGCTCCACTCACAAGTGACGAATGGAGTGCTGGATGGTCACTACTGAAGCCCACTGCCCCGCAGAAACTATCAATTCCAAGGAAGTGAGTGTGAAACAGTTCGCAACTTACCTGTAAGGCAGCGCGTGTAAAAAATGAAGAACTTTGGGTGATTAGATCACCTGTGCTTTCCAATTGCCTGACAAATCCGCAGGCAAGCACTATTAGAGCCGCGGATCAGTTCCTCCCCGAACCAACTAAACTTCATCACCTTCAGTGCCTATCACTTGTTCCTTCCTTACCTTTGTAATGGGCCGCTACTAGTCACTATGAACAGCTATCCTACCCACTGAACCAGGCCATGGCGTAAGATGGGGATTTTCCTACGCCAAAAAGGGGTCGTTTTGGGCCTGATGGAATTATCACTCGATTGCAGTTTTCCCGCCGCCCCCACCTCGTCGGCAGCGGGAATCCTGATGATTAATCCATGGGCTTTCTGTACCCTACCTCCTACCTCCCCGTCGCCTTGGACGTATGTCGAGCAGGGTCCTAATGAGGGAGATTTTCCGCAACACCACGGTGCACTTTGCAGTGAACGTTTCCTATAGAAACCAGTGATTACTTTCATAGTGGGAAAAGATACAACACTACCTCTTTCTTCTTCGGAGCGGCAATCTTCGATGGTACCTTGAGCTCGGTTGTTGTCTTAGGTTTGGCCAAACCACTTGATTTTGGCTGGACCAAGTTGGAGACTTTCTTCACCTGGAAAGGGTTAAGCAGACTTAATCCACGTCCCAAAATGTTCGCAGGTTCTAATTTTTACCGGCGCCGGAGATGCAGGCGTAGAGGCGTCCTTCTTGTCTTTCTCCTTTGCACTGAACAACTTTCAGCTTGAGCATTTTTGATTGTGGTGTTGGATCAGTCGCTGAAATTTGAGTATTTGAAATTGGAAAAGGTTTAAGGGCAGCAATTCTAGTTCTCAATTCTTCACTAGAACCCTGACGATTTGTACAACGATGATTTCATTAGCAGCAAGAGGACTAACCTTGTGCAGTAGTGGTCGCCGGAGGCTTAAGAGCCGTCGGCTTGGTAATTGCTGATTTAGACGTTAATTGCGTCTTGGCAGACGGTGCTTGGACCTGTCCTGGTTTAGCGAGTGACGTTGCTTTTTGATTCGGGGTTGAGCTGATCTTTTGATTCGATGTCGAGGTAGAGGCGTTCTTTTTTGGTGTTGAGCTCACGTCCGGAATCGATGTGTATGTGGACGATGACGCGATTGAACTCGAGTTGGACGAGCTTATCGTTGATCCATTGTTGATTATCTAAAAGAAATCTCACATTCCAAGTTGGGTGTAACAGAAAAAATCAAGAAACTTTGGCAGCATGAACGATAAGGGTTTTTTTTTTTTTTGGTTGGTTTATTTCCTAAAACGTTGGGTAAAAATTTTTTGGAAAAAAACCCCGCGACGCTTGGAATTGTAGTGAACCTGCTCAAAAGACACATTCTGCCTTTGACTTCGTACGTGGAGGACCTCTCCCAACACGGGTAGTTTTCAGTAGTATTTGCCATTCGGAAAAAGCTTTTCGACTACTGACTTCTCTCATTTTTTCCCCTTTCACATGCTCTTCCCACCTCCCTCCTCCCCAATTGGAAATCCGGAGAAACTGAAGAAGCTTCAGGAAAAATCCGAATTAATTTAGGAAGGTAGGGATGGGGAGGGGTGGATGGAAAAGAGGGTCGTTTCAGAGGAGTAACTTTCAGGAGGGCGTCCTATCTTGCAGTTGTTGCGTTTTTTCTGGATTTTTGCCAAACGGCAGCACGTGCCTGAATACTTGCGTTCCTAATGGAGTGGGACCACGTCGTTTCGATAATTTTCTTTTCTCTACGCTGGTAGCCTCTACCGATCACAATCAGTGTTTTTCAGCTTCCCGCCTTTTCGCGCGCTCGTCCAGTACCCAAAAATTGGAGTGTTTTATTCAGATCGTTTTCGAAGGTTCTACTGCTTTTCCTCTACTGGGAAGTACATTAACATCTATAGATTTATACTTCTATTTTGACTGTACTGCTCACGACCAATAATGAGTCATGAATGCAGTATTGATGATAATGTGTCATGGAAGCAGTATTGTTCGTTGCGAATACTGAGACATTCAAGGAGGTGCTGGTTTTCGCATTTTTCCACCAACTGTGATCACCTGTCAGCTTCCACAACTGAAATAAAGGGCCTGTGCCGCATCAAAGCCAGCCCTAACGCCAGCACCGCGAAGACTGGATCGAACACTGGTTCAATGCTCCACTGATGTCAATCATCAGCTCAGATATTCATGTGTAAAATAGGGCACCGAAAAAGTCATGGCCCCTTTAATGACAGTTATCATGATGGTTTCCTACTTAGCCTAGAATGCTAGTAGGGCGCTGTATAATGGGGAAGTGGCGAAAGAACCGAGTGAAACGGCCAAAATACTGCGAAGAAAAAGCCTCCGTTTCCAGTGGACTTGACACTTGAATTTTTGGACGAGGTTTCTCGCGTAGGCCATCTGCCAATCACCGCTACCGAAGATACGGCTGCATATGTGTACCCATGTATGCATGCAGCATCACGGCCGCTTCATACCAATCCCTTTGCTTCATAATTTGCTCAGCAAATGAATGAATACGACGTCAGGCGGTTCGTCGCCATTTAGTGGGCGGCGGGCGTGGGCAGGGCGTTTGGGACGTAAAGATGATGGTTGATAGGGCCCTTTTAGGCACTTTCCGCGGGAAACCGCTATGCAGCGCCTGCCCAGGGTCGCGGAGTTCTATTCTGCCAGGAGTATTGATCCTAGTCGCCTTGGGGGGGGATTTATCGTGCCAACTGCCTTCAATAAGCACCACGCATCAATACAAAAGCCAACTTGAATAGTATTGAGAATGCTCACCCGCTTCCTCGTGCTGTAGAACGAAGATTGGTGGATGGCGGTCGGAGTGCACCAGCCGTAGCTGCACGGCCCGGTGACACTGATTGTTTTTCTGCAACAAAAATAGCTGATTATGGATGTTTTCATTGTAAATGAAGCACAGAAAATGGTTTGTAACCATATGAGTAATGTAGTGCGATATTTTCCTAATAATAAATAATAATAATCTGTTATCATTCATGATGACAAGGTGCTCAACGATCTTTTGATTTCGGCTGGACTGTGGGCGAATGATGCTACCGCATTTCATGGCAAGTTTGCGCGCGGTCTCGTAGCGGTTACTTCGATCACGTCCGCCTGCAGTCATGCAGATTCGCTACCATTCTGAGTTCAAAAAAAAAGCTAAGGGCTATACCCCAGCTGTGAAATGGCATACTGTTATGGTTGAAATTATGCACAAAACTGCGTGAGGACCGAGATGAATTGCACAGAGGCCATTTTTGGAAAAGAAAGTAAGCAGGGAAATTCCCGTCAAATGTCCTTTTTAAGTGTGAACTGTGAGGTGAAAGAATGACCGGTAGGCATCCAGTCAAGTCCCGCGAACGAGGAAGACTAACTGAGATGAACAGGTAAACATTAAGAAAGCCAAGCAGTCGATTAGGAAGCCGAGGAGGGAAAAACAGTGGAATTTAGACAGTAATGGCACCCTAATCCTTCCATGACTGTTCGCATGACTTACTGACAGTTCATCCTATTGACAGAAGGACTTAAGAAAAACCCAGGGTAGGATCGTTTGTGGCTAGCCCCTCGCACCATCTATTGTAGTTGAATAAGTGGATTTCTGGAAAGTGCAGCTATCACACCTGGCTTTGTCGACGACATTCGCATGCATTTTAAAGCCTTGCACTTCTTTACTTGTTTTACTGCTCCGTCACAGGTGCTTTATTTATGTCATGGCGTAGATGTTTTATGTCCCTTACACAATGTTAATCATCGTTCAGAACTGTGACCGTAAAATTTAACGAGGCGGCACCGACAGGTAGCCTCTTATACTTGACCATGAAGTTCATTCAAATAGCAAAAAAAAGAAACAGCAGAAGTAATGTTCATTAGCATGGCACTGGGATCATTAGGCTTATTACTGTTTCTTTTATCCAGTCCTAAGTACAGTTCTTAGCCTACTCGCAGCTGGCATTGCGAGACCATGTAAATTCCGAGCAGTGTACAGCATCGTGATGTGTGAAATGGTGGCGTCAGTACGACCCCGCGCCCCCGGAAAAAGATCCTGGTTTAGCGAACCCCTCCCCACACTAAGTGGCGGTCTTGTACGATCCCCCTTCCCTCCTTTCCCAACCTAGCTGCCATGTTCACATTTTCCAGTTTTTCCACCCCACAAACCTTCACAGTCGAGCAGGGTGGGCATACAGTAGCAACATCGAAACAGGAAAAATACGAAAAGAACAAATATTTTTCCAACGTAATTCTCGGAAAAATTACGAAACCATCCCTACTGTTCTACACAAGATGCTGTACCCTGATATCGTCCGTATTGCTGTGGAAAACAGGAAATAACGTGGTGTTCTAATGAGGTTGTAGGCATTTGCCAGGCAGGCCATCGCGTAGAAATACCGAATCTGGAGCAAGAGGGGGGGGGGGAGGAGGGGAGAGGGGGGGGGGGGGGGGGGGGGGAGGGCCGGGACCCTATCTCAATTACCGCTTACTTACAAAATCTAGAACAAAAAAGAGCCATTAAGAAGGGGAAGAAATATGTACAAGATTATTACTGTACTGAATTCCAAGAATAAAAGGCTTCGAAAATGGTGTGTGGGCTTCATATTTTCTTGAGTCCTTCAAAAGGCATGCGTGACCGCTGAGACGAAAATAGGAGGAATGAGACTGAATTCAAGGATTTCATATTTGAACGAACTCCGAGCGTTATGAAACACCACCATTAACTACAACGCTCTCATGTGTATCGTCATGATTCCTGCAAAAGATAGGGCGTGTAACAGGGGTGTGGATGGGAGCGCTGCCAAGACGGCGTTTCCTTCAATGATACCCTCCCGAGTCCACAACTATCGGCGGGATTAACTGTTCTGGCTGCAATCCAACTCACGCCAGCGTCACATGCCCAGTCGTTTGAAGATGATGTTTACATATACTTGATGGGGGGGGCGGGCAAGAGAATCGTGGATTGCCGCTTCGTCGCACGCGGCAATGAGCGCAACGTTCCCTGAAATTGCGCACAATTTTTTGATTAATAGCTTCGGATTTGATGGAGGCACAAGGATATGGTGGAATCACTTACTATTCTCCGAAATCCGCTGAGATCGGTGGGCGTCGCGCGCCATGTTTGGAAGCTTAACTTGAAGGTGTTTTATGCTGTGGAGGGATATTTTCAAATCTATGCTTCTGGTGAGATATTTTCATGACACAATTGTTGTCGTGTCTCTGTCCAACACAGAACAAGATGACAGTTGTCCCAGACTGGAATATTCCACGAGTAACCAATTCCGTGCCATGTTCAAATGCCACGCCTACTCTGGCTCAGGGATAAGGAGTGTATGTCTATTTTGGGTCATACATTGTGACCAATACCACCTAAAATCGTCGTCATTAGCGGGCGCGACGTCGCACGCGAGGCCCACTGGCGCGGCGAACTACGATTCTCTTGAAACACATCCATGTAATGGTAAGTGCGAATCAATGCAATTCGACAGGGGCAATTTTACGTGCACCATGCACAGGAACAAATAAAGAATAGGCTGTGATGGATCTTCGTGGACAGGACTGGCTCGCCGGAACGGCTAGCTGGAGGCACTTATGCAGCTCACCGCAGGCATGCATGTATGAGAAATAGCTTCTGGGAAAAACTGTCATCGCTCAGCAAAAATCTGCGGCAAGCATGCCATGACGCAGATGTGTGAAACAAAAACGCTTTGACATCTTGAATGTCATGCATTTCAGTGTAACAGGTTAGGTACACCATCAACAAAACATTCGTGACAAGTTGACAGCGGACAGTCGAGGAAAAATGAACAACAAAATTCGTGCGTTTTGCCTGGAAAATTGTGTCCGAAAATTTCTCTGTCTTCTCCTAGAATGAGGTAGCACCATTAGGTTCTGAGGGTGATGAAGTGGGAGGTCATTCTCCGGGAGAGAGGGCGGAATCAAATCTCGACTTTTGACCGGAGTCGCAAGCCCTCTTCCCGTACTGTGCCCTACTGGACCAACCCTTTCGCAACAGTGTTGCTGTCGGCTGGGCCCCACAAGTCATTGTAAAGGTCACCCTGTATCTAATATCACATGCGATTTTAGTGGACTGCTAGCGCCTCTCGAGAAGGGGTCAACATCAATAGCCTTTGTATCAGTTCATATTCGCTGATCGGCACGTTAAAATGCAACACTTCAGAGCAAACTGGTT